TTTATTTTGTTCGTAAATCTTGTACAAATTTCGTAATTTACGACATTTGCGAGCGACAGCGAGAGCACAGCGCTGTCATATTCTCAATGAAGGTGTAGAACTTCATTAATATGCTTTGAAGCATTTTATTTCAAGGTCAAGGCTACCTTAGACTATTATTAGACTAGCCTACTAAAGGCACAGAGGGCAGTGTCAGTTTGGAGCGTATACATTATTGATTTGCTGAATCTGTATAAGATTGATTTTTTCAATAAATGATATCTTGGGGTCAATGTATTAACACGCTCTATTGCACGGAAAAGTATCGTCTATGTACGCATTGCCGCCACTTCGTTGTGTAGATTATTACAATGGATATTTTTAACCAGTCCACTGTGTTCGCATATTAACGTAACTGTCAACTACTCAATTTATTAAGCAGAATATTATTCAGACAGCTATAATTACAAATATGTTGTTTTCTTCTCCCTGGTTTGTCAAAACCACTGGTGATATGAATAAATCTCGCAACCTTGTTGTTCATAGCCTTCACTGCAATAATAATCAGCTGAAGAACGTGACATTTACTCTTCCGAACATTCGTAGACTTTCCTATGAAGCCACAGAGTCTGCAAACATCATTGCAGAATAGAGAAAACCTTGGATTTTCTTTCCTAAAACGTGTGCATTCAATTAAAAGCATAATGAATAGACCTTAATTTTTCTTTTGTAAATAAATGCATACTGTAAAGGGGGTAATTATTCACTGGGTTTTAATTTAGCTTATTTCGCTGACTGGAAAATGCGCTAAATTAAAACCCAGTGAATATGTAAAATTTAGCATAGAACACATTATCTAAATGACGAAACCGTGAATTTAAAACACACTGATTATGCCTGAAATGGTAAATCAGCGAAATTTAGACCCAGTGAAAATTACCGGTAGTCATTTTAAGGTACTTGGCAGACATTGTAATTACTATATTTGCTCTAATAGTAATCAATAATAATAATATTTGATTATGTGAAATACAGTTTTGTCATAAGTCATATTTGTCATACAGTATACAATATTGTATTGTATTGTATTTACTTTATTAATGCGTGGAATTACGTACATGACAGTGGCGATTAAAATAAGTCATATTCTAGGGATTCAATGTATTGTAAAGTCATTTTTTTTCGCTTGGAATTTATTTTCGCTAAGAGGATGAATCAGTTAAAATAAATACCAGTGAAAATTCTTGTTTTCCTGTGTTTATATTCAACTCGTCCAAATTTAGGGAAAATTAATTTCAGTTAAAAGAACTGATTTAAACATCACTGTATTTGTTATGAGTGACATTATGTTATATGCGTGTCTATGGTCATATTAAGGCGTATTTTAAAGCGAGAGGCTCGTCACCTGCGCATATGCTGGAATTGAGTCCCAAGCGACGATAACAACACATGAATGCTAAAAACACAAAGACTCGTGGGTAGACGCTTGTTTGTAAACAATGACACACTATGGCCATCTGACGCATGCGTAGGTGACGACTCCCCCTTACTATAACAATCCAATTTCACAGTTAATGCAATTTTTTATTTATGTCCTCTGTCATTATAAGTGCACTTTTAAGCGGTACATTATGTATGTCACAAATATGTAAAACTGAGTTTTACGCGCACCACAAGCGTCTGCTGTTATTAGACGCAACCAAGTCCTGATTTAAAAACATTATCCAGCTCAGGATAATTATTTTATTAATTTAAAACTAAGAATGGAAATCCAAGCTGCTAGTGGAAATGCCCTTTGGTATTTGCATGGCGTTTGTTTTTAATGCAGCGTTCTTCCTCTCGTTTTGCTTGCAGGAAATTGGTAATTTGTCAAAGCTAATGTGTTTAGATGTTTCTGAGAACCGACTGGAAAGCCTACCAGAGGAGATTGGCGGCTTAGGAAATCTGACAGACCTCCATCTTTCACAGAACTGTATAGAAAGACTACCTGAGGGAATCGGTAAGTAACGGGAAAGTTGAAACTTCGTTACACATATCTATTTGCTGGCAACATTCGCTGTTGCCGATAGTAACCAATAACAATAGACATTACAGCTGATACTGAAAAAAAAAAGTAGTTTTTAAATTCTATTATTCTTTCTAGCTTTCATTTCATGATGATTGAACAAATTTTCTGGAATCGGGGAGTGGGGAGGGGGGGGGTCCTGAAATCATGACAAGAAGTCGGTCAGTTTTTTATGACCACTCTTAATTTATAATTAGTACAAGCAAAAATGTAATGATTACAGTGCCGTATTTGCTCTATTAGTATTGCATAAGCTTATGTAAATGACCAAGGTATGTATGGTCATAATGTTTAGTATTTAGTATTAATGTATTTTTGGTTCATGTGTGCCGCCATTGGAGATGTGCTTCTGAATAAAGCATTGCCACAAAATGATTTCTGCATACCGTATTAGTAGCGTATTCAATTACGTAAATGACAGTCGTGTATCAACGGCCGAAAGATGTAATATTTGAATGATCCAGTATGCAATTATAGCATCCACTTATATTGGAGTGCACTACTAATAGAGCAAGCACGATAGTCTTGGATATTGATTGAGTGATTGATTATTGTTTGATTAATTGATCAATTTTTTGTATTTTTTTTCATACAGGCAATCTTAAACAAATGACGATATTGAAAATTGACCAGAACAGACTTGTTGCCTTGACGGCGGCAATAGGAAGGTAAAGTTTTTATTCTGTTTTACATCCACTAACGTAGTTGTTCATCTTTATTGTAATTTTCTTTGTTCTATATCGATATCCAAATAAGAATAGGATTATGCAATAAAGATTATATTATTATTATTATTACAAATGTATATACTGTGGAATACTTTATTTTCGCTGGAATTAATTTTCGCTGAAAAGGCTTTTTGGATGTTTTGTATGGAATTTATTTTCACTGATTTTTGATGAGTTTAATGTGAAATATAGGAAAAAAAGTATATTCGCTGGATTTTATTTTCACGGAATCATCCCTTCAGCGAAAATAGCGAAAATAAATTCCAAGCGAAAATAAAGTATTCTACAGTATGCTGAAAGAGAGTAGAATGTACGACTCTCTCCTCAAACGTGACAAATCTCATCAAATCAAATCGCAACTTCAATGTAAACATACTCTCTATGGACCCGTGCATGATTCTACTGTGATGTCGCGTATTGGACTTTGATTAAATTAAATAGAAAGATATGATTGGATAGACCCAATCAAATTTGCATATCAAAACGCCAGAAAGAGCTATTCAATGCGTACTTGCTGACTAAAATCTACCAAGGTATAGAAGTGAGACGATGGCTGCATAAATAAATGAATTATGGCTGACAAAGATGCTCAACCCGGTGTCAATTGTATGCAGTTACAGTCTCCTTGTGAATCATTGATGGAAAATAGCATCAACATAAGTGTAACTAACAACGTAATAAACAAATCTGGGTTTCTTAGTAAATTCAATGCACATTGTGACTCATTGGGGGGGGGGGGGGGAGAGGGGGGGGGGGAGTATATACCCAGAGGCAAGTACCCCCAAAATTTTATTGAAAATTGCAGACAACTAACTTTTCTTTGTATTTTTTTTTCTTTCTTCCAGCTGTGAGTGTCTACAAGAGTTAATTTTAACGGAGAATCTTTTACAAGAACTGCCAGCCACTATAGGGCTCCTGAAAAAATTAAATAACTTGAATGTTGACAGAAATCGACTCAAATCAGTCCCGATTGAGGTATTGTAGTTTAGTCATTAATTCTCCAGAGTGAACATCCGAGCATTTTCGTCATCTGGCAACCATCTTTGATGTAAACCGTAACCGAAAACTGTACTTTGGGATAGTTGTTAAGACTCCCCTGAACAGTGTAACAAGGCTACCCCTACATTTGTAATATGTATCAATTTGGTTGTTCAGAATTATCGCAAAGTTGAATTTTGTGCTGTTTTCTCGTCCTTTCACCAGCTTCTCGACTGTCATTTCACAACAGTTCACACAGAGCCCATGGAAAGACATGGTACAGTGGTGCACATCTAAGCAACATGGAAACGTCTGTGACGTAGCTCCACCCCAAGAATAGAATGACATTCATTGTACATGCTGTCTCCATAGCAACCAATAGTCTTACCATACTATTCTTAAGAAGCTTACCAATAGAACATCTATGCACTCTTTAACATGCTTCAATCTTGCAATGAACGCACTTTGACCTTTAACCCCTTAAGCGCCAAATTTTATTCCCTCTCGAATTCAGGTAAATTTGTTCATAATTTTCACTGAATTCAATCTTAATTTGTGACCAAACAGGCAAAATGTGACATTGCTTCAAATTTTTGATCAAAAAATTTGAAATTTTTGTCAACATTTTATGTGAAAAAACGCAAACTATAAATTGAATATATACACCATAACATGTCAAGATTGTGGATGAGAAATGCAGAATATTAACTTGATTGGTTTCACAAATGAAGTTAGATGAGTAAATAAGAATAAAGACTAAGTTAGAAGTCTTTTTTTTGCACTTGACTGTCAGTTACGGTAGATCGTAGATGTGGTTGTCTGAGGGATAGGAACCTCCAGTACTCCCAAAATGAAATGTGTGGAAAGTGAGGCCAGGATATGTCTACTTTTAATAATCAAATTTTTAGCTAAACGGCTTCATTTCAACACGTTTTATGTTTTCAGCTTTCTTGTGTTTCACGTATTTTCTAAATTGGAATGCAAATTTAATTTCAAAGTAAACTGTTTTTCATCTTTTACAAAAATAAACGCTCATCATTTTTGTTTTGTTTTGTTTTGATCAAAATTGTTGGCAAAATGGAAATTATGTTAATTTTGGATCAAATAACTTAAACATAAAATTATGGTGTTTAAAAGGGTTAATTCTCTTATTAAATTCTTATTTAAAAATTCTCTTATTACCATAATTAGAAAACTTTAGTTAGCTCTGACTTCATGGCTCCATTGTGTATATGACATTCTCTGCACTTTTCCCCGCCGGTTCCCTTTTTCATCACAAATTCACAAAATAGTTTATAGTCTGCTCTTACTTCAGAAGATTAGGACCAAATAGTAAAAAATGAGAATTGACTCAAATTTTGTCGGTTGGCTTCAAAAATGAGGGCTCATTTCAAGAACTATTAAAGTATATATAGGAAATAAGTGCAGAAAAATTAAGGCGAGAAAGTCTGGTGGTGAAATGGTAAACTGATTAATCACATTTTATTTTTCAGCTGGGGCGATGTCACAAATTAGGAGTGTTGTCTTTAAGGGAAAACATGTTGACTGAAATTCCGTCAGAAATAGGAAGTTTAAAAGAGCTGCACGTTCTCGACTTATCTGGAAACCGAATAGAATATCTACCGCTGAGAATTGCGCAGTGTAATCTCAAGGCATTGTGGTTATCAGAAAACCAGGTATGCTTTATGTCTGTCGTTCTCGTTGTCGTCGTTGACATGAACTGTTTTGCTGTGGTCACAGTTTGTTTGTATCAGACTACATGATTGGCTGAACTGTATAATATAGCACCCAATGGTGTAAGGTATGAGTGGCTTCTAAATACCATTGAGTATAGCCTTTTTGGTGAAAAAATGACTAGTTATGTTAAACATGCCAGATATGACGGTACTGTAAATAACACTTGTTGTATTATGCAACATAGCTTACTTGAGTATTTTGTGGACAGCCAAGTTCAAGGACGAATTTGTTAAAATTGTGAAGAAATATCTGAGCATTTTGAAGGGCGTCAAGGCGAGGCTTCATAGTAAATGTCACCGTATTCTATGTAAATTTCGATCAATATTCATTGTAATTTTATGAGACTCGCTCACTGTAAATTTCACAAGTCCTTGCACATGTCCTTAAATTGCGAATCACGATCTTTTGTTTCACGATTTTTTTTGTTTTTTGCGTCAAAAATATATTTTCAGTAATTGTGTAATCAAAAGAGTTGTATTTTGCGACCCTTTATCGCGAGTTAGTTAATTCATTTTATGTTTGTAACTCAGGCTCAGCCAATGCTAAACTTCCAAACAGAAGAATTAGAAGGTTCAAAGAAGAAAGTTTTGACTTGTTTTTTACTGCCACAGAGAGGACCGTCTGAGAGTATGGGTAAGTGGAAAAAACTGTCTGAGATGCCCAACACTAGAGGGCACTATTCATGTGGCTACTCTGCATGTTGGCTGATCTGGATATGCCAGGTGCATTCTAGGATATGGGTATTTGCATGTGCAGTGATGACTGCCATCTTGGAACCATATATTTATATACTTCATTGAGGTTATAGAGTATGGTGTCCCAGAACTGCAATTTTTGTTGAAATGTATGACATTTACGTAATCTTGCCAACCAGTGCCAGTGAAAGCTTCTCATGCACATATCTACGGTTAATCAAATACATAGTTCAGGGTGGCTATGTGGGCTGATCGGTAATGATCATATCATTTTAGACTGGATTTTTGAGACCCGCATCATTTCTTTTCGGTTTGTAGCTTTCACTGGTTCCGATTTCAGCATTCAAAACAATTTCAAAATCATCTCTAGTTACGATAAAATGTATTTCCAGAACTTCTCTCCTTTTTTTTCTTTTGAAAACTGTAATCTCTTTTCTCTCGTAGATAGTTTCTACCATATCATGTAGCTTTCAATTTACTTCCCAGAACTACGCTGTATTTTGCATATTTGCGAGATTGTACAGTTCTACTCATCGTATTGTGAGAGCATGGACGAAACAGTTTTTAATTCAAATTTGATCAAAGCACAAACATCTTTTGTAAATTTGTATACTGGGTGTAATAAATTGGTGTATAAATAAAATCGGTTACGAGTGCATTTGGTGTTGCTCCTACCTCTGCAATGAAGCTGACGTCAGCATGAATACCGAAACGTTATGGGTGCTTGAAAGTGACCTACGAAGTGGTCATTGGGAAATGTCATTGTCCGCTAGTCTTTCAAGCTACAGTTAAGACTCGCTATGTACTGCTACGTTACTAACAATAACTAATCATAACGGATGTAAATATCGTTAAGACTTAACCTTACTAATTGGTAAGCACTTATCCAATCAATAATTTTGAAACCTTTCTCAAATCAACTATTAAGAGGTTTGCAATACTATACTGTATCTTCTCTAGCATGAAATTGATCTATTCTAATTATTCATGGCTAACTTCTTCTAGAGAACGATAATAATTACTCGGTTATCAAAACTGGGTGGAAACGTCTTCACCCTGCTTTTGTTTCTTTTCACAAGGCCCCCCATCTTATCACTCGGATGACGATGCCAAACAGGAAATCGTTTTGCACGAGCCATTAGAACAGCATACCACAGGTGACGTAGCAAGCCAGTAGAAGACCCAACATTATTTGGCTTCACTGCATTTTTATTTTATTTTATTTTAATTTTTTTTGTTTATGCTTTTAAAAATTCATATTAATATATATACTGGCATTGCTATCCATGGTCGTTCCAATTAGTTGATATAAGGTTTAGTACATTTAAATAGTTAAGTCATCAGTATTTAAATAATTATTTACCACTGCTGTGTAAACTTTTCCCCAAATCAGACCTATAATATGGCTGCCTTTTTTTACCAAAATGATTTGCTGAGTTATTTTGCTGTGCGATATTATACCGCTCCTAGACTAACAGTCATTTCACAATCTTAAGCTACGCCATGTATCCTCGGGCAAGGCACTAAATATTTACTGCCTGTATTCACTCAGGAGAAAATCGTAAGGTTGTCATTTAAACTAATGTCAGTACCGTAGCCTGTACATGCACCCTGGAAAGTTGAGATGATGTAAATCGTTTTTCTTAGAAATAGCAGACTGACGCAAGTAATTATGTACAACGTCCTCAAACACAATTTAGTTTTTTGTAGCTACCTAGAATGGGGGAGGGGTCATTCAATTATTTTATAATTTTAATTGAAACTACTTTTGTTGGATGCCGTGTATTTAAACAGATGTGTGGTCACTGTACTTGCATATTATCATATAGGTTTCTGTCATTTTAGTGAGTGTGCCTTTTTGTTTAAATTAGCGAGAAGGTTGCTTACATCAGGTTGTTCAGTGTGTGGTTTATAATGGACATGTGTTACTGTAAGAAATCTATCATTCCATATCAATGGCGCATATATTTAATTATCATTATTATTATTTGTGTTTTTTTTTCATCGTTTGTAATCGTACTAATTTTATGCGATTTGTTGTTTATATACGTTACAGAGAATCTTTTGCGGGACAGCATTGGTGGCGACAGTCGGCTCAGCTGGTCTGATCATGGTGCCGATAGGGTGCAATTCACAGATGGTGGAGAAATTGACAGTAACAAATTGGTATGTGATACGAGCCGCTCAGTATCGTATTTTGTTTACACCACACCACGTACACACTACGGCCAGTCTCTGTGTGCCCGCAATAATGTTTGTTTCCTGTCCTTACTAACACAATGGCTACCATACTACCCAAGTTACGACCGGTATATACGGCTGTTACAGTTATTGTTTTAATAAGAGCTGAATTAGCTCAGCTATTGCCACATTTGGAATAGTCCCATTATGTCGTATTTGCTTCAGACTATTCCATTATTTACTCAAAGGGGCAAACAATTGTGTTGCTCTTCATGATTGTGATAAACTTTGACCCCCCCCCAAATTTATAAATTTTTCGCAAAATAAACCTCCCTACTTCAAAACGTTGATTCGTACATGTGGCCGTTAGAAAATTATGTTCATTTCATTCAAAATTAACAAAGAAATTACAGAATATTAAAGATGAAAAAGATTAATAAGCACTTGCTATGTTTTATCAAGTACTCGTTTTGAAAAAAATAACGCAGGGAACAAACAACATTTTGTTGCCATGGTAACCCGAGACTGGCTGTGTAAATATATGAATGCATGCATTTCCGCAAATCACATGACTCGTCCTAGTAGGAGGTGTTTCAAAATTACGATTAGGGGGGAGGGAGGAGTTGGACTGTATAAAGACTGTTGAAAAAAAAAAGCATTTATTTAATTTCTTTCTTATAATTTTCATTTAATTTCCATTGTGTATATTTAATTTAATTTTTTCACATTTTGAAACAGAGTAATTTTGTCCGCCATGACACACCTCACCCCAGAGAACTCAAGGCACGTCATGCCAAGTTGCGCGGGAAAGCAATAGACAGTCCGACGCATAAAGATGGATTCAGTAAAGAGGTAATTCTACATTCTTTGCCCCTCACATTTCACCCTCCATCACACCTCGAAGAAATAATGCAACATTCACAACTAAATTTTTGTTGGTTAATGAATTAATTTGCTATTTTTCTGCACATTGCACTGCACATCACTTTTAAACTAACGCTTTTCAAATGAAGTTCATCTTATTCCGATGCATGAATCTTGTTTGAAGGACACTGGTCATCGCAACCATGCACATTCAGTGTGGGTCCCATGTGATGTGTGGCAACATCCACATTTAGGTTAAATGTGTTATTTTTACAAAATCAAATACTTACGGTGGCAATGATCATTGTCCTTAATTATTCCCAAGCAGTAAAAGCGGGTAGCAGGATATAGTGGTTACCTACGTCTGTCTGTTTGTATAAAGTCATATCTGGAACACTATTACAGATATCTCATAGTGTTATATTAAAGACATTGCACACTGGATCTAATTAGCATATGTCATGACCATATATGGTCATTTGACCTCATTGGCATATGTCATGACCATATATAGTCATTTGACCTCATTAGCATATATCATGACCATATATGGTCATTTGACCTCATTAAAATGCATAAATATTATATCTGAAGCACTATTGCAGATTTAGACAAGTGCAACAGGGTAATCTGCCATCACTGGCGGCTTTCTTGTTCTAATAATACTGTGAAAGCGTTGTAGAGTTCTTCTGAATGCCTTTGAAGTTGCTTTGTTAGTAAAATTTAGTTTGAAGCCTTTGATATATGTCAAGTTCAGTGGTAAATGCAACAGCTACATGATTTGCAAGATATCTTTTTTGCCAAGAGCCAAAACATTACCAAGCAGTTTCATGGAGTTGATTGTGATTGAGTTGTCACCATCTTAGGGTGCTATCAAATTGCACAAATACTCTGTCCCCATTAGTATAATTCGCCAACACCGCAATTTTCTGATTTGATTTTTGGCCCTAGTTACACAAGGTTGAGGGCTCTCAACTAAGTTTTGTTAATAACTTTTAACCTTTTCACCACCAGTTCCCTGTCTGTATCACAAATTCACAAAATAGTTTCATTTATAGTCTGCACTTTCCTTCAGAAGATTGAGACCAAAATAGCCAAATATTTTGAGCAAAAACAGAAAATTGACTTAAATTTTGCCAGTTGGCTCCAAAATTAGGGTTCTTTTCCAGAAATATTAAAGAATATAAGACAAAAAGTACAGGAAAATTTGGGCAAGAAAAATTCTAGTGGTGAAAAGGTTAAAGCATGATGGTACTGCCAAGCTTGAATTACCATTTCCAGTAAAAAACATTAACAGTTGCTGCGTTGTCACATAAAGCATGAGAAAAGGCTGCGTTGATTTACTTTTTAGTTTTAATTTCTCCTATACATGTATAAAAGTAACGATGTACATCAAGTGGTATTAAACAGTTTTATAAGCCCAAATACTGTGGGATACTCCTCTTAAAACTGTTTGCAATTCTACACGGAATTGAATGGAGAAAAAAATGGCTTCAGCAAGGGATGTGTTGATTGGCTTGATAAATTTGCTTTGATAGAAACGCACATAAACCAGCAATTATGTTAATTGTATCTCCATCATCAATGAGACATGACTTATTTTGACCATAGACGTCTTGCATTACACATTATAAAGGGCTTGCACTATTAGATTATTTATCAACAGTCAATTGGTCCATTTAAACTGTAGGAAACCATGATTGGATTTTATTTATTTTTCTTGTTAATTCAGCATACCGGTAAATATATTCTGGGTGAACATAAAGTACTGTAAAATGACTAATTTTCACTGGGTTTAATTTCGCTGATTTTAGCATTTCAGGCATATTCAGTGCATTTTAAATTCACGGTTTTATCATTTAGATAATGTGTTCTATGCTAAATTGTACATATTCACTGGGTTTTAATTTAGCACATTTTTCAGTCAACGAAATAAGCAAAATTAAAACCCAGTGAATAATTAACTTCTTTACAGTACTTCACAGTAGCCTGACTGACCATTTCTTGAATGATTGTGGTAATGACTTACTACTTCAGAAATTTGGCAGTCTAGTCCAGTATGTTTCGGCTTCGCCATGAGGTTTTAGCAAATTTAACTAATTAGTGGGGGAAAAAAATGTTTTGAGTAAATAATACATGTAATATATCTTGTGTGTTCAGTCGTTGCATATTCTACTATTGTACTGACTGTAAAAAAAAAACATTGCAAAAATGAATTACAGATCAAGTTTGCAATTTACAGATCATGTAAGCATTTCTTTGATTGATGAGCTTAGTCTGGGTGAGAGCACTGTTCAGCTAACGCATTATTTTGAGTGAGAGTGGTGTGTGTATTGAGAATTTGTAACAAAATAATTCACCTTTATTCTATCGCTGTTCTACCCAACTGTCGTTCTAGTTCAACCTTTTAAGAAAATACTTGTCAAACATCAGCAGTTGGACGATGACGATGATGATGAACGATGTAATTAGCGACTTTTATAGTCTCAATGTGAATCCAATTTGTCACTCATTGGAAAATCTTGATGGCTTAAAGCAGCCTTTCATAAATCAATGAGAAGCTAGACTGGGATATAAAACTATAATTATGGTGCTTTGTCTTCGATATACCGTAATCAGACCTGGTCTAATTAAGATGCATCACATGAATTGAAAAATGAAACAATAGCCAAATTTAGGCAAACTATTCCTATCCCAAGTTAGACAAATAATAAAATTACAAATTAGCTAATCGTTTTCAATACTAAAAAAAAAGTGTTTGAGTAATGAACTTTTTGGTTCAGTGAGCATCTTTGCAATTTTTAAGGCCAGCACTGAATCTCCTTGTCACGTATATTTCAGGAACACCGACTCAGTACATCATCAAGAGCCAGCGACCAATCATCAGCCAGCGAGACGCATGCAAGAGCCACATCCCCCACATGTTCCGTTACCATGGATTTACATCATAAAATGGACGAGGAGAAAGAT